AGAAGATTCCACACTAGGCATGGGGCCCAACTCGTGGCTTGAATTCACAACCCTGAGATCAAGAGGAAGATGCTTAACCAAGTGAACCACCCGGGCACCCTGAGTTTTTAAATATAATGTGGGAAGCACGGCCCATGAAAGAAAACATCAGAAATTGGACTGTATCGAAATTTTCAATGTTTGCTCTGCAAACAACACCGTTAGAGAAAGAGAAGACAAGCCACGGACTGGTGGGAAGTCTCTGTAAAAGAGAAATCTCATAAAGGACTGGTATCCAAGATCAACAAGGAGCTCTTAAAACTCAACAAAAGAAAACAAACAACTCAATTAAAAACTGGGCAAAAACAAAGAAATGCAAATGAGAAATAAGCGTAGGAAGAGATGCTTGAGGTCATACATTTTAGGTCCACAGGGAAGTGCAAAAAAGTGTTTTAATGTTTATTTTTGAGAGAGAGAGAGCGCACACAGGGGAGGGGTGGGGTGGGTGGACGGAGGAGCCAAAGCGGTCCCTGCGAGGAAAGCAGAGAGCCCGTTGTGGGGCTCGATCATGACCTGACCATGACCTGAGCCCAAGTCTGACACTTTTAACTGAGCCACCCAGCCGCCTGCCCAGGAGATGCCACTACACACTAGGAGAATGGCTCCAGTGCAGGGCACTGGTGATACGAAATGCTGGTTAGAATGGGCAGCAACGGAACTCTCCTCCAGTGCTGCTGGGAACGCAAACATGGTACAGCCGCTTTGGAAGACAGTTCGCCGGTTTCTTACAAAACTAAATGTACTCTTCCCGTATGATGGATGCAGCAATTGTGCTCCTTGCTATTTACCTAAAGGAGCTGAAAACTTTCGTGTGCACAAAAACCAGCACGGAACTGTTTACAGCAGCTCTGTTCACGAACAACACCGGGAAGATAGCGGGCTAGAGTCTCAAAGACAGTCCCCGAAGTGCGAAAATACTTCTGGGTTTATAGAAGGAAAATGTGGGGCGGAGGGGGGTGGGTGCTTGCAGGTGGGCAGTGAAGGTCAAATGGATCCCCGTGCTTACAGGGCAGGATCTTGCAGGCTCAGGGGCAGTCCCTCTGCTGGAGGGGGTACTTTCGGTTCCCATCTGCGGAGGCTTTGCCCGGACACCAGCTGGAAGGAAGAGGCCAACTGGCAAGTGTGAGGTCAGAATGGAGCTTGCCGAAGCCGAAGCCGGCTTTCGAGTGCAGCACACTAATGTGGAGTGTTGGTATCAGGGAAAGCTGGGCCCACCTGCGTGCAGGGGTAGGGGGCTCAGATTGCCACTCCCTGGTGCTGGGGACCGTCCCTAGCCCCCAGCGCCCAGCCCTGGGGGGTGGCCTCAAGGCAGTCTCCCTTTCCCAGTTGTGGAAAGGACAAAGCCCTTCAAGGTGGACTCCAGCCTTTGTTGCCAGCTAATTCTAATTCCAAAGCTCTTTGTGCCCCCACCCTATCTCCTGCTGCCCCCGGGATAAGCAGCCCCTCCTGGATGGGGAGCCCCCCCCCACCCACGGACCCCCTCCTCAGGCCACGGCCACCCAAGACCCAGTGGGCCCCGCAGCCCCCGTCGCTGCTGCGGGCACCAGGTCCAATTCCCAGGCCTCCCCGGACAATGAGAGCCTTCCGCTCACACTCCCTTCCTGCCCTGCCTCCAGCTCCCCCCTCCTCCCTCCCTCTCCTCCTCAGCTCCCCATCCAACCCGAGCCTCACTGGGCTCTGAAAGGCTGCCCTCCCTGCCTTGGGCCCAGGAACCCCTTGCTTCTCACCCAGACGCTGCTGGAGCGAGAGCCCCCCGCCCCCCCGGCCCTCACACGCTCAGAGGCCAGGGATACGGGGCCTGGTGGCAGCTGTGGAGGCACAGACAGGGCTTGGAGGGGGGCTGGTCTCCTGGCCCGCAGCACCCCACTCACCCCCAGTGGCTCTTGCCCAGGGAGGGGATGGTGGCAAAATATACCTTCTCAAAGCCCCAAGAACCGCCCCTCCCCCACCCGAGGGCTGAAGCTCCCTTCGCTGGTGTCCTACCCAGCTGGTCAGCGCCCGCCCACTGTAGCTGTCCTTGGCCTTATCTGCTCGGAAGCTCCCACAGGCTGCTTGGGGCTGCACGTGAGCCAGAGTTCTGGCTGCCAGCTCCCACATAGGGCAACTCCTGCCGATTCATGCTGTCCCGAGGCAAGGACCAGTCCATTCACTTCGAGCCCCCGCAAATTCACACCTATCTCTCTGGCCTCCCCCGGACAGGTGGCAGCCAAGCTGAGTCTGCACTGTCAGAGGCAGGTCGGCCCAGACAGGGGGCCCGGTGCGGGGCACCAGGGCAGGTCAAGCTCGGGGGGCACTTGGCTCTGCGGGGCTGGGGAGCCCACGCGCCAGCTCTTGCCGGATTTTGTACACCTTGGAGAGGGCTTTAGCTCCATCTCCAGCACAGAGAAAAGCCCAGAGCAGAGCACATGGGGAGGGACACGTGAGATTTGCCCAGTGTGGCTGCTGGGGCCGAGAGGAGGAGGCCACTGGGGCCGGAGGTGGGGGGCGGGGTGGGGGGGTGTCAGGGTTGGGGGGTGCCGTGGTTACCTGCTTGGGGAAGACTGCAGTGAGGGAGGGAGGGAAGGTGCAGCCCTGTCAAGTCTGGTCTGGGGGCCTGGTGCACCCCCCCAGGTAATGGAGGCCCCTACAAGGAGGGTCTAGAGACACCCCAAGAAGGCTCCCCCTGGAGCGGTGCCAGCTTGGGTCCTCGAGCCCCGGAGCTCCCGCGGGGCTGTTCTCAGCACTCACCTCTCCCTTGGATCTCCCTTTGGCCCCTCCCGCCCCTGCCCTCCCTCTCAGCAGCCTCCGGTCTCGGTCTCTCTCTGTCTCGCAGAGGCATTGAGGGCCTAGGGTGGCAGCTCATCGCAGCTTCCAGCTTCGCCACTGGCCTTTGAACCTGCCTCCCCTCCCAGGGGAGAGGAGACCCGCCCTTGGCTCCTTCAAAGGCCCTCCTCAGGTTCCCCATGCCCTGCCCTCTTCACCCTCTCCCCTCCCTGCAGCGGCAGCCATTTCCCCCAAGTGCCACTCGCTTGCCCACGCCCCGTGCAGCCACTGCCTTCTCTCCCTGCCATGCTCCTTGTACAAGCAGTATCCTAAATTCTGAAAGGGTTGCCTGCACGGGGCCACGTTCTCTCACTTCCCCCTGTTTGTCAAGGGGCCCTCTGACCTCTGCCCGAGGACCGTCTCCATCACAGCTACCGCCCTCCCTCCCTCCTGTGAGCATCCCCGCGCCCCTTCCCGCCTGGACGAGGTTGTCAGCCTACTTCCCGGGCTCCTCTTTCCTCTCAGCTGTGCACCGAGGTGCCTGTGGTTCGCTGGGCTACTCGTCTTTCCCCTCTGCCCTTGCTCTCCGGTGGCCCGCACTCCTCCACGACACCTACGGGTCACATACTTCTCGGTGGCCTCTCTGTCTGCAGACTAGCTTCAGTCTGACACCGGGCCAGAGAAAACTCAAGTTCTGGTCTTCCGATGAACAGAGCCACCCTGCCACCTCGAGTGTCCCCAAGCGTCTCCCCACCCCGTACCCTGACCCAACCTGAGCACAGGCCACCTTGCGGAGCTTCCACAAAGGCCCCCCGGAGGCTCCTCCAGCCATCCCGGGTGGAGGGGCGGCCCCTCCTCACCCAGCAGGCTCAATCTGGCTCGGGCCAGAACTGCTTTTCTTCATAAAGCCGCCGGATGACTGAGGGTTTAGCTTAACAGGATGAACCATCTGGGGACTGACTGCAGCCTGGTGATCTGAGAGTCTGGGCCTGGTGGGGGCGGCAGGGGGCACACTTCACGTCCCCAGGCCGGACAATGACCCCTTCCTTCCCCACCCCATGGCTGCTTTTCACTCTGCAAAGTTCCCAACAGGCTGCTAGGCTGCGGGTAGGGAGGCGCCGAACACCCTTGCTAAAGGGAGCCCTGAAGGTCCTTGGAGAGAGAAGCTGCGCAGGTGGGGGGTGCCGGGGCCTCCCCGCTGAGGCCTTGGGGGGGGGAGGGTCTGTGCACCTGACAGGCACCAGGGGGCAGCCTTGCCTTATTCGTGCCTGAATCTCGCAGGCATCTGGCAGGGGTGAAGGCAGCGAGGGTCCCTATAACCCCTCCTTGGTGACGGTGTGTAGCTTTGCCAGGCAGCCTTATCTGCCCACTTAGGAGACTCAGAGAGACTTCTCGCCCCAAGAGCTGCGATGCTGACCTCAAGCTTCCAGGATTTCGACGCTGAATGCCAGGAGGAAGCAAGGCGGCGCCTCTGGCAGAGCCCCCCCCCCCCCCCCGCCCCCCCCCCCCCCCCCCAGCACACCTGGAGACAGAGCCGGGGCCAGCCTTTCCCTTGCCCGCCGGCTTAGCCCGCTCCCTCAGGAGGCGGAAGTGGCCAGCAGGCCCTCTGGTGCAGGGAGCCGGGAAGCTGTAGGCCTCGGTACCCAACACGGGCCCAGGCTCTAGCTGGGAATCAGAGAAGGGCCGGAGAGATGGGACAGACTGGAAGGAGGGGTGAGAAGAGGAAAGGAGGGCAAGGATGGCTGGGAGGCAGCCAGGGAAGTGGCTTTCCTAGAACCAGGAAGGGCAGGTTAGGAGGGGCGATCTGGGAAGGAGCCAGGTCCAGATAAACTCGGGGTCAGGCGCGGTTCGGTCCCTGGGAAGGACGTGCTGGTCGGCGCCCCAGGTAGCAGCCATCCTGCTTCCCGCTGGAGTGGCGTCTCCTCCTCGGGAGGAGGGAAGGAGGAGGTGGGCGGAGTGACGGGGAGGGCGGGACGGGGGGGGAGGGGGACCAGCCCGTTCGTGGGGGTGGGGCGACAGTGACATCACCGGGAGTCGGTTCTTAAGCAGCAGCCGCTCGGACCGGGAAAGAGAGGGACGGTCGGAGCGCGGTGGCGAGTCGCTGAGCCCGCCGCGGCCTCGAGAGCGGCTGGAGCCGCCGCCGCCGGGAAGGAGGGGCGAGCGCGCCTCAGCCGCCGCCGCCGCCGCCGCCGCCGCCGCCGCCACCGCCGCCGCCGCCGCCGCCGGAGCCGCGAGCGAGCCAGGCAGCCGCGCCGGCCCGGGCCGGGGCGGGGGGCGCGGGCCGCAGGCCCCTGCTCCGGCCGCCGCTTGCAGACCGTGGGCGCCCGATGCCGCCCGCGCCCCGCTAGTCTGAATTTCGGGCCGGGCGAGCCGCCGCCGCCACCGCCCGAGCCGCGGACAGGAGTCTCGGGAGCCACCGCCGCCGCCCGGCCGGGCCCCGCCGCCGCCCGCGCGCCCTCGGGCCCCCGACACACATGAGATTCTTCAGGCTCACTTTCAAGTGCTTCGTGGACTGCTTCTGACCGCGCCGCCCCGCCTCCCCGACCCCCCGGCCCGGCCGCCCCCGGCCCCCGGCGGGCCCGCGCCCTCGGGGCCCCCCAAGCGCCCTCCGCCGCCCGTCCGCCCGCCCCCGCGAGGCACCGCGCCCCCCGGCCCGGCTGCGCGGCCCGCCGGGGCCATGGCGAAGAAGAGCGCCGAGAACGGCATCTACAGCGTGTCTGGCGACGAGAAGAAGGGCCCCCTGATCGCGCCCGGGCCCGACGGGGCCCCGGCCAAGGGCGACGGCCCCTCGGGCCTGGGGGCGCCCGGAGGCCGCCTGGCCGTGCCGCCCCGTGAGACCTGGACGCGCCAGATGGACTTCATCATGTCGTGCGTGGGCTTCGCCGTGGGCCTGGGCAACGTGTGGCGCTTCCCCTACCTGTGCTACAAGAACGGCGGAGGTGAGCGCCCCCGCCCCACCGCATCCCTGCTTCTCCTTGCCCGGGGGGGGGGGGGGCCTCCCCCGCCCGCCCCACTGGGGCGCGGGGCCGAAGTCCGGGATAGGGGGTGCTGGAGACCGCCCCTCGCTGGCCGCTGCTGCTCGGTGGCCCAGCCTGGCGGCCTCCACCCCCCTAGCCGGTCATGTGCCTGGCAGTGTGTGGGGGGAGGGGGCCGGCGAGCCAACTGCCGAAGCCCCGGGACTGCCTCCCCCCAGACTCCTGGCGCGGGGGCCCCGGAGTGATTGGCCACTGAGGTGGGAAGGCGATGCCTGCCCCCCTGGTGGGGGGGCTTCCAGAGGTGAGGAGCCCAGGCTGCCCCCGCTGGTCAGGCACACAAGTGGCACATTGTGTGGGGCCCCCACGTGTGCACACACGAACACACACACACACAATGGACTACTCTGTCCCTCCCCCTGCCCTCTTCTCCCCTCCCTTCCCCTCTCTTCTCTTCCCCTCACTCCCCTCTCCTCTCCTCCCCTCCCTTCCCCTCCCCTCCACTCCCCTCCCCTCCCTTCCCCTCCCTTCCCTCCCCTCCCCTCCCCTCCCCTCCCCTTCCCTTCCCTCCCCTCCAGCCTGGGCCTGGAACACTGGGTGCCTGAGCCAGGCTTGGGTAGCCTGTGGCCTGGGCCGCCTGGCGCCGCCGCTGGACACACTGCACACATACCCCATGCCCGCCTGCCCCGGGGCCCAGCTTAGCAACAGCGATAGCCACCGAGTGTCCTGTGACTGCAAAGCAGCGCTGGGGTTGGGGGAAAAGCCATGGTGACTGGGTGATGGGTGGGAAACTGAGGCCCAGAGCGAAGGCCTTGGCCCAAGGTCACACACAAGAAAGATGCTGGGACCAGCAGCCAGGGAAGCTGCAGCCAAGCCTGACTTCTGAGTAATGCAGAGCTGAGAGGGGGCAACAGCACGGGGCCTGGAGGGGACAGGGAGCCCAGTTCCCCTTACCCCCCACCTCTGGCCTGTGGTCTCCGGCCCCATGTTGCACGCAGCCTCCAGTGCCAGGCTCACCAGAGCTTGTACTATCCCACCTTGTCTCCCTCTGTCTTTGTTCACCAACACCTCCAGATACACCCTTCCCCCCCCCCCCTCCGTGACCCCTGGCAGAAGACTGCCCCCCACCCGCCCAACCTCTTTCCTGGACCTTCATGCTTGCAGGCAAGTGCCTGGGTGCAGGGAAACTCAGGCTCCCTGTCCTTGCCCAAGCCAGACAGGCCCTCAGGCCGGAGTGTCAGCCATGGCGCATGCACGCACGCACTCGAACGCATCCACATGGCCTCACCGCTTTCCTGTGCTGCCTACCAAACAGGGAACTGCGACACGAGGCTGTGTGTGTCCTCCGTGCCTGTTAGGTCACTCACCCTTGGTGACGGTGGGGCCAGAAGCCTTGTGGGTGTAGGGCCCCCCAACCCAAGAAACAGGGCTGGAAGGGTCGGGGGACAGCCACAGCCCTCCCAACGCTCCAACCCCCTCCTCCCAGCAAGGCTGTTCACCTTGAGCCTCTGAGTCAGTGGCCACCCGCTGCACTGATTCACCCAGTGGGAAGTTAGGATGGTGCCAGGGAGGAGCCTGGAGCTGGCTCCACCCTGGCCTCCCAGGGCTTCCGAAAGCTGGGCTGGCCAGCCGGGGGCTACGGGGCTGCCCTGTGCAAGTGCCCACCCTGTGTTCCTTCTCCCCCAGGTGTATTCCTTATCCCCTATGTCTTGATCGCCCTGGTCGGAGGAATCCCCATTTTCTTCCTGGAGATCTCACTGGGCCAGTTCATGAAGGCCGGCAGCATCAATGTCTGGAACATCTGCCCCCTGTTCAAAGGTGAGCAACCCCAGGCTGGTCCTGCTTGCCCTCTCCCTCGGCGACCCCTCCCCTTTCTCACTGCTAGGGCAAAGCCGGCACCCACTTGAGAAATCCTGTCTCATCTGAGCACCAGGCTGGGGACCCGGTGGATGCCCCCCAAGTCATGAGTGGGAAGCTGGAGGTTCTGCAGACCACCCAGTGACCTTGAGCATGCGGGGAATGGAGTCAGGGACTGGCCTCTCTGCCATGGTGAGGGCGCCCAGGCCCAGAAGAGCTGGGAAAAGACCCTGCCAAGCATACTTGGCTCGGGGGGAGCCGGGCAGAGGGTGCAAGAGCCATCAGCAGGAGATGCTGTCCAGGGCCACCTCTCCCAAGGCCAGAGGGCCAGCCTAAGGAGCTGGGGCAGGAGCCATGGGAAGTTCACGGTCTGAAGGGAAGGACTGTTGGCAAAAGTCACTTTAGAGCTCGTTCTGGGTTCAGGCAGTGTGCCCCTATTACCTCTCAAGGCCTTAGGAGGGACCCTGGGGAGGCCAGGGCTCAGAGGGGCAAAGTGACTGGCCATGGTTGCCTGCTGAGAGAGGGACTGTCTCCCACACCAGCCCAGGTCGCCAGAAAGCCCCCAGCTGCTGAGGACTGGAGGCCCACTGGGGGGCCAGGTGGAGGCTTGGCCCTAAGTCAACCACCATGGTGTCAATGGGACCGAGGAGAAGGGAATTCACAGGAGCTAAGGCTCTGATTGCGGCAGGAGGGGAGGGAGGGTTCGAGGGAGGAACCTTGACCCAACCAACCCTTCAGTGTTGGGATACTTGGACAGGTGGGGGTCCGGGGGGCTCTCTGCACCCGCTGTTCTCCCCACCATCCTCCCACCACATCTCAGTCATGCTCCAGAGACTTCTCTGAGCTTGGGAGGGTAGATAAGGGGGGCGGGGGGAGCGGCCAGAGAAGAGCCCACACAGAAACTCCTCTCCTTCCCAGGCCTGGGCTACGCCTCCATGGTGATTGTCTTCTACTGCAACACCTACTACATCATGGTGCTGGCCTGGGGCTTCTATTACCTGGTGAAGTCCTTCACCACCACGCTGCCCTGGGCCACGTGCGGCCACACCTGGAACACGCCTGACTGTGTGGAGATCTTCCGCCATGAAGACTGTGCCAATGCCAGCCTGGCCAATCTCACATGTGACCAGCTTGCTGACCGCCGGTCCCCTGTCATCGAGTTCTGGGAGTGAGTCAGGCGCCTCTGGGCCAGGCCCTGCCTGTCCCTCTCTGTGGGCGTCCCTTACGGCCCGGGTGTGCGTGTGCGGGGCCCGGCCCCGGGGGGATGCCGAGCAGGGTCCCCTCCCGGGCCCTGCGTGTCCTCAGCGAGCCCCCAGCCCGGACCCTAGGGGAGCTGGAATGGACGGGTCTCGCTCCCTCCCATGTCTCAGTCACAGGCGCCGTCAGTCCTTGTGTCCGCCTGCCTGCCTGCCTGGGGGAGGCGAGATGGCTGAGGGCGCGACCGGCCCTCCCGCCTCCAGCCTCCAGCCCGGGGCTCCGGGCTCCTGGCTCCCGGCTCCCGCACCGAAACGCCTCGGGGCTGCGGGCTGGGGCCGGGCCCGGGTGCCGGGGGACGAGGGAGGGGGGCCCAGCTGCACGCGAGGGCTGTGGCACGGGGGGAGCACCGCCCTGGGACAGCCCCCCCCTCGTTCGGCCCTCCGCTGCCACAGCCCTCAGGGGCTCTCCCTCCCCCAGGAACAAAGTCTTACGGCTCTCCGGGGGGCTGGAGGTGCCAGGAGCCCTCAACTGGGAGGTGACCCTGTGTCTGCTGGCCTGCTGGGTGCTGGTCTACTTCTGTGTCTGGAAGGGGGTCAAGTCAACAGGAAAGGTACCGCTGGAGGCGGGCGGGGCCGGAGGGGGTGATGGCGGGGCTGAGGGCAGCATGGTCGGTGGGGAGACGGGGGTCCCACCGCAGGTGGCCCGGCCAGGGCCCGAGGACGGGGCAGGCACTTGGAGCCAGGCCCCTGGGTCCCCACCCGTGCCTGGGTGGTCCTCCCCACCGTCCCGGCTCCGTCCGGGCAGCCTTCCGTCCCCAGGGGGACAGGCCCCGGCGGCAGCCGGCTGAACTTGCCTGCGTCGGGCATCCCCGCCCCAGGCCCCCTCTCTTCCTCACTCACTGTCTGCTTTGCCCGCCAGCTTGGGGGTCCCGGTCCGCGGTCCTCCCTTGCCTGCCCGTTCTGCTCTGCTGAGCTCTGCCGAGCGAGCGCGGACGGGAGGCGGGGGTCTCCGCGCTCACCTCGCCGTTGCCTCTGTCTCCGGCCGGCCCCGTCCAATGCCCACGCCCCAGGACCTGCCTCTCCGCAGACAGCCCCCTGCAGCCTGGGGCACGGGAGGCGTGGGACCTGCCCCCAGGCCGGTGCCCCTCTCCCTGCCCGGGGGAGGTGCTGCCTCTGCCCTCGCTCTGCGGCTGACCTGTCTGCCACGACGGGGCGGCCCATGCCCCAGCGGAGCACCCAGCTTCCTTTGGGAGGAGCCCAGGCTCTGAGGAGTAGGAGGGGGGTGGCGCGGCCCGCCTCCCTCTTGACCTCGGAGCACACCGCGCCATGGTGCGGGGAGTGTGGCCCGCCTGCCGTCCTGCTGAGGCGGGGGGCCCCTAAGGGGGAGGTGGGTGCCGCAGGGCCCCGCCTGAGCAGCCCGGCCCCCCAGATCGTGTACTTCACCGCTACATTCCCGTACGTGGTCCTCGTGGTGCTGCTGGTGCGCGGAGTGCTGCTGCCGGGAGCCCTGGATGGCATCATCTACTATCTCAAGCCTGACTGGTCAAAGCTGGGGTCCCCTCACGTGAGGGGAGTGTGGGCTGTCCGGAGCGAGGGGGCCGGCCAGGCCGTCAGGGCCCCTCACCTCCCTTCCCTGCCCCATCTCCAGGTATGGATACATGCTGGAACCCTGATTTTCTGTTTCTTTTCTATTCTTTCTCTTCTTCTTGTTCTTGACTTTCTTTCTTTTCCTTTCTGTTTTAATTTTTAAACTTTATTTAATGTTGAGAGAGAGACAGAGCGTGAGCTGGGGAGGGGCAGAGAGAGGGGAAACACAGAATCTGAAGCAGGCTCTAGGCTCCGAGCTGTCAGCACAGAGCCCTATGTGGGGCTCAAACCCACAACCGTGAGATCATGACCTGAGCCCAAGTTGGGCGCTCAACCGACTGAGCCACCCAGGTACCCTGATACTGTATTCTTAAAGTAAGCTATCGAGAAGGAAATTATGTTAAGAAAATCATAAGCGAGAGAAAAAACACTTATATCCCTATAATGTAGTTTTTGAGAAAAATCTGCGTATAGGTGGATTCACGAAATTCAAATCTGTGTCGTTCAAGGGCCAACTGTCGTGTGATTTGTAATGGGAGTTAAGTGCTTTACAGATAGGAAACATCCTTGTTGACACTGTCTTTTTCAACAAGATTATACTTGCGATCTTGGTGTTCAGCCTCTTTATTTTCATTGTCCTGTTTGTCTCCTCTTTCTGAGTATTCTGGCTTTTGCAGCC